GTACCTCCCCTTGAATGTGTCGCGTCAATTTATCCATCAGCAAGGCAAATAAAAACGGGCTAAGTACAGAATTCCTGGTGCAATACCATCAAAATTGGAAAGTGACCCGAGTCTCCCCGCACTATCTTCACTTAGGTCTTGGCTCCATCATATATATCCTTAATCACCCCAATGTATGCTACATATATACCTCTAGCCTCCATATATCTCCAAATAACTTCTATTGGGACTTTGTAGTATGCCTTTTCTAGGTCAATGAATACCATATGTAAGTCACTCTTCCTTTCCCTATATTGTTTAACCAGTCTCCTCACAAGGTGGATGGCTTCCGTAGTTGATCGTCCCAGCGTGAATCCGAGCTGGTTCTTGAAAATAGACACACCCTCCTTACCCTTATCTCCATTACCCGCTCGCAGACTTCATAGTATGGCTTAGCACCTTCATACCCCTATAGTTGTTGCAATTTTGAATATTGTCTTTGTTCTTGTACAACCGAGCCATCATACTTCATATCCATTGCTCAAGCATCTTTGTTATCTTGAAGATAACATTGATTAACATAGATAGCCACTCCAAACCTTCCCTATCCGTGCTCTTTCAAAATTAATTTGGGATTATGTCCGGCCCGATTGCTCTTCCCCTGCTCATTTTACCATAGCCCCTTCAACCTCCTCGACCTTGATACGCCTACAATATCAAAAGTCCCGACGACTCTCGCAGTATTCCAAGTCACCGAGCACGATACTCTTGTTCCCTCTTCATTCAAGAGTTTATAGAAGTATGTCTGCAATTTCTGTCTAATCCGTGCCTCTTCCATCAAAATATGGCCTTCCTCGTCTTTGATGCACTTTACTTGGTCCAGGTCTTGGGCCCTCCTCACAGAGAGAAACTTTAAAAACTCTTGTTTTTACTGAACTATTTCTTTTTCCCTCAACATTACTCGAAGTACTTTCAAAATTTCAACTATCCAAGATGTGTCGCTGTTGAAAAAAAAATCTTATAATGAGATCCTTGAATAGGAAACATTAAGAGTTTAGGTTAGTTTTTCTTTTTCTTTTTATCCTCATGTCAATTCAACTCAAGAAAGGAGCGATTATACTCCAATTAAATGTAAAGTTAAAAAATATTTTTAGAAACACCATTATATCCCTGCTTTCCCGATCTCTTTTCGAGCTTCATGCTAATCTTTTATGATTCACAATTTCTAGGTTTAGTGAGAGTAGTACAAGGTTTTAAAATTGAGCTTCTGACATAATTGGTCGTTCGGCCGAAAAGTATATCACTCGCTAGCCCATTGTTTTACATTATAATTTATAGCCAACAATAAATAACATATGCTAACCAACAATTAGTTTTTGAGCGGCCCTTTGTCCCTTCTTCACTCTCTAGTCATTCATGTAAAACTCAACAAAAATTAATCTCCACTTCTTAAAATGTGAAATCTAAATGTTAAGACCCGCAAGCAATTGGCGAACTAAAAAATACAAATATGTTTTTCTCTGAAGGGGTAAAAGTTTGCTCCTTTCAACGTTTGTGAGAACCTCTTTTTTTTGTTCAGTTCACTGCTGGGTTTCTTCTTCTCCTCTTTTTATTGAGGTATTTTTTCAATTTCGCTAGTTGAATAACTACCCTTTCTTTGTTTTTCATGGGTCTCTGTCATTTTTTTAACTGGGATTAATGACAGATCTACATATTTGGTGCTTAATTCTTTGGGTTTGGCTCATAATATGGTGGTTTCTTATCTTGGCCATGTGAGTTTTGAATAAAATAAAGTTTGTATTTGGTTTGGTCTGTTTAGGGTTCGTTATACTTGAACTTGGGTGTTAGGAACAGAGATGGTAAGAAAATATTTTTTAAATCTGAAAATGAAATAAATTTTCTGTTTTAAATTGGAATTAATTTGTTTTTTGAAATGCTTTTGTTCCGAAAATATTCTTTCTTTTAAATCTCCAAAATAAAGGAAAGCATATCACTATCAATACCTAACATAGAAAAATCAAAGGACCTAGAACTCTTCCTCATTGACGACCGTAGCCATTGTCGATCACTAATCAACACATACAAATCTCTTTCTTTTTTTTTACTCACCGAAAATGACCCAAAGACTAAAAATTCTCATGGTTAATATTGTATAACGAATGTATATATATTATATAGTTAGTGTATACTTTATAAAAACTCAAAGTGTATAAAGATACACAGGTTATGCAACAGATACACTAAATATGAATTTATTATATATGAGATACACTAATTTTACATCTTATATACAAAGAAGAAGAAGAAGAAGAAGAAGAAGAAGACGAACCTGTAGAAATACACTTTACCCTTCACTTCTTCATAGCAAATGCACATAAATTCATCCCACAAGAATCATGGAGTTTCAACCTCCAATATGGCTAGAAAAACACCATTAAATGACACAAAATATTTACATTGTATAAATAATATATATAAATTGTATAATTGTACATATATACCTATTATATAACATATATACATTATATAAGGTTGCTGCAAAGAAGTCGGAGCCATGAATATACACTAACAACACATTAGGAATACACTAAAATATAGAGGATGCGCTTTATATATAAAATTTATACAATGTAATAGTATGTATATAATTTTTATACATTTTATAATAGTTTATATATAATTTTTATAATATACACTGAAAAATACATGATACAATTTATATACAAAATTTATACAATGTAATAGTATATATATAATTTTTATACATTGTAAAATAGTATATATATAATTTTTATAATAACATTATTATACATAATGTAATTATATACATATAACAGTGCATATACAAGTTTTATACACTGTATATATAAAATTTTTATATAAAATTACATTGCATCTACCAAACACCATTAAAATATAAATCATCACAATACCCACTTCAAAAGATCTGTACTTATAAAATATCATTAGGACCCGAAAAGGAAGACGATGAAGAAGAAGCAATCACATAAACAAAAATAAAAAGAAAAAGCAAACATTTGTACATAATAATAATAAGAAGCAAAATTATTGCGTTCCTTCATTTATTTTTTAACTAGAAGCTCAAACTTACAAAATGAATCAATAAGAAAAGAAATAAATATAAAGAAAGGGGATGATGTTAAATGATTTGAGCTAGTGAAAAAATGCATATCCAGGTTTATACAAGTGTCTTTGTAAAAGCCACTTGCTAACTACTAAGTAACCAAAAAAAAAAAATATAAATGCAAATGGAAGAGAGAGAGAGAGAGAGAGAAGTAAAAGGTGTGGGGAAAAGGAAAAATTCTAGGGGAAACGTAGAAAGAGAAAAAAAAAGAAGGTTACATTGGGAAGGGAATTATTTATATTTATAGCACACAGTTCCATTAAAATAAGAATATTAATTATTAATCTCTAAATATAAGCAATTTGAATGAAAAGTCAATAATTCTTTGTACAAAAATCATGCCTTTTTTCTCTTAATCTATTAGCTTTCCTTCTTTTTCTTCATCTTCTTAATTTTATTTTCTGCCGATGTCAACTTATTTTCTAAATTTGTTCCATTCGTTTTCTTTTTAATTATCTTTCTTAAGTTTTTCTCTTCCTTCTTTCTTCCTTTCTTAACATAAAGATCTTAATTCGATAATAATATATGTTAATATATACAAAACGTATATAAAATATATATATATATATATATATATATA